CTCAGTGGAATAAGCTCTTGCCTTGCAAGCACAGGGGCATGAGTTCAATCCCCGGTTCCACCAAAAAAAATTTTTTAAAAATTTTTAAATAAAGTTTTTAAAGCAAGTTAAAGATGTTCATATTTGGTTTTTTTGTTTTTTTTAATTTTTAAGCTGGCTGAATATAACCTTTGAAGAGCATTTAATTGAGCTGGGATGTCCCCAGTGGTAAAGTTCTTGCCTAGCTCTTGGCTCAATCCTCAGTGCAAGACAGAGACAGAATGAGGCAGAGAGAGAACCTAATTTGTTAGCTTGCCCAAAAGTAAAAGCTGAACAAGTAATGACACTACTTAGCACGACTTACTACTGCTTCCGCTATCTCTTTCAAGTTTCCATGAAGGCAAGTAGCACAGATTTCTAAAACTTACCAGAATTCCCCAAATAGTACAGGTACTTCATAAATATTTGTTGGATAAATGAAAAATAGTAATGGATTTTCTATAATCTAAATAGAAGAAAAGTGCACAAATATAGTAAATGATGATGGGTTGATACTTTTAAGTTAGGATTTGTTTTGGTTTCTTGTGCGGTTTTTTGGTCTTTTTTTTTTTTTTTTTTTTTTTTGTTCCTCCCACGCCTTCAGGGCACGTTTGGCCAGCGGGAGAGTTGTGAGGTTCGAACTCCAGCCACCTGAGGCTGACAGCTTTGTGGAAGCAGCCACTTAAAGGACTGAGCTAGGGCCAGGCCCCCTTTTGGTCTTTTTGAGACAGCATTTCACAACGCAATTCAGGCTGGCCTTGAACTTACTTTGTAGCTCAGGCTGGATTTGAACTCACAGTGATCCCCATGCCTCAGCCTCCTGAGTGCTGGGATTATAATTCTTGTCTAATTTGTGTTCTTTTGTTCCCAATCTTCTTTTATTCTCAAACTTATTATCTATACTTTCATTATATAAGGGTCTTGTTTATACAATTAAGTAGGAAAAAAAAACAAAAAAGCAAAAACAAGCTATGGAAACACTTGAATTTTAAAAATCTCAAAGAGATGCAAAGGAAAGTCATAAACTCTGAAATAGAAACTTTTTTTCTACTTTTAAAACTAATACATGGCCACTTTAAAAAACAAAAAATGCAAACAACACAAAATACAAATTTGTATAAGGTTAAAAGTCCTGTATAAACCTAACCCTAAAAATCACTAGGCTTAAGACTGTGGATATAAGTTTTTCTAATATGAGTTTTAAAAAATATATTTAAAAAGCTTACTCTGATAAGTTAAATGCACAGGGAATTCTCTGGAAAGAACACACTTTGCTGAATACTGTGCGATGAGTACTTGAGTAAAGACTGAGAGAACCCACCTGCGGGGTAAGTTCCCGGGCCGTCTTCACTGACGCCTGAATGCCTTCCACGGTGGATTTATTAGCAGTTCCTACTGCGGCCGCCTTCTCTGCCGTGGCCCCCAGCCTTCCTGAATGGTTTTCAAAGTTTGCTGCCCTTTCATCAAACACCTTTTGGAAAAAACAAAGACATAAGGCAATTAATTCAATAAACTGGGTTAAGCAGCATAAAACATAGTATCTCTTCAAGTAGACCAAAACAACTACTCTCAAGACTTTAGGGATGACATCAAACTCTTGCTAAGATAATAGTCAAATGTCAAATCTTGTCCTTATTTCTTCAGTGGTGTAGCCTTAAGCATCATGTATGTGTACACGCACGCACACACACACACACACACATACACACACACACGCAATCTTGAGTTTCAGTCAGCCTTACCAAGCACAAGCAGGGCACGCAGCATTAGACGCCCCACAACAAGGAGTTCACAGAATCCGAAGACTACATCCCCACTCCATTTGGCTCCTCTTCTAGTTTGACAAGGACAAACCCACCCCAGCCTCTACTGTGAAGAGCTGTGCACAGTTCAAGCCCAGAATATCCACCCAGAGTCCTCGGCTGAACTCTAGCCTCCCCAGAACAGTAGCCCTCCTGTATCCCATTACCATTAATGTTGCAGAAACTCTGCCCTGACCTCCCTGGGAAAAACATACCTGGTGTTCACACTCAGCCTGCCTCAAGGGCAAGCATGGGTAGCTTTCAGTAATTGTGAATGTAATCAATCTACTTGTTTATTGAGCTCGCAAATTTTAAAAAGTTACCTTTTCCTTCAACGTGCAAGTTTGTACGTCATGAAGGAGACCATTTAACTTAGTTAAAAATAACAAAAGCTTTTCCATCATTTGTTTTAATACCATTAGAGCTGATACCTGAAAGGCAGAATATCCCAGGAGTGCCGGGGAAGGTTTACACTACGCACAGAGCGACTGCGTCAGGACTGCATGGTACAGTACACAGCTTTTCTGTCTTCCTCGGGTCTGCCTGGCCGTCCTGGTGTCTAGTTCTGACCCACAGCAAACACCCTCTCAAGGTTTTTCAGTTCACCAGGAAGCTCCAATCTCATGCCAGTGTTCTAAATCTGTCCTGTTAAGTCTCTTCCCCATTCTGGCCTCTTGTTTGGATTCAGCTTCCATGTTCAGAACCTCTGCCTAAAATCCCTGAACCTCTCTCTAGT